TGGGAGAAGTGATCTTGCAAGCAGCACAATGTGGATCCAGCGCAATGGCTAGCCGGGAAGATTGTATTGAGCGGATTAACCTTCATCATCAAATCTCTAACAACCAGATAGTTTCTGTCTCCTCCCCACACAAAGGCGGCCAGGGTTTCCCCTCTCTTCTCCAGATCCATTGCAGTTTGGTCCTTTCGTCGCTTCGGCATCTATGGGTGGCGCGGCGGCAGCCTCAGTAATCTTCTTCTAGTAGCTTTCTCGTTGCAACAGTATTCTGTTGGTCAGTGGAGGTGTGCTAGAAGTGTTAGCAGCACTGGTGGCTCTGTCAGATCTGGTTGAGGATGATGATGGACCTTCCTTTTGCTTGGTGCAGGATGGTTGGTTCGCTTTCGTCATGCAGACTATGCGCAAGTGGTGGCACCGGGTCGGAGCGCCAACAAGCTTGGGGCGTGGCCCTGCTGATGTTCCATCGACGTTGTCTTAGTCCCGTCGCTAGGGTTTGGGCCTTCAATTGCAATCTTCAAATGCCATGAGGCAATTGGAGCTCATTAGGTGCTTGTGGTGGTTGTTTTTATTTGTGCAGCGTTGGCTGCTCTCGTCCTTGTAATTGTCCCCTTAAGATAAATCAGATCTGACATGCCTTCGGGTGTGGGCGTGGCCCTGCTGATGTTCCATCGACGTTGTCTTAGTCCCGTCGCTAGGGTTTTGGGCTTCAATTGCAATCTTTAAATGCCATGAGGCAATTGGAGCTCATTAGGTGCTTTTGGTGGTTGTTTTTATTTGTGCAGCGTTGGCTGCTCTCGTCCTTGTAATTTTCCCCTTGAGATAAATCATGTCTGACATGCCTTCGGGTGCTTTCCTCTAAAAAAACAAGCTTGTATTGATGATTTGCATGTAAAGAATAGGTGTGGATTGTGTTTAACGTGCTCTTACCATAAGCAGTATGTCGGTCCGTGCTTGCTCGTGCAGTCTTCTGTTCTTGCTCCCTTCCTGATAAATCACTAGATGGCCAAAGTTCATACTTGGATCATGCACATTGGTAGGTACACCCACCTACTCAACTGTGTCGCAAAACGTCGCAGTGTAAAACATGATTAGTGTACAGTCAATATATATATATATTGAGTTGAGTTGCATGGTGACATCTTAATTATGTTGCAATTGGACTCTGTATGTGCTATACTGCTTTTCTAAAATGTGAAGGCTATCTCACTTAGAAGGGTGATCTGTCATGTTTTCCTTTTCAGGAGAAAAATGAAAATGCGAACGCTACCTCACTTAGCATTTCTCAATTATTTCAAGACGCCATACGAAAGAGGAAGCTCAAAAAGTCTCCTAGCAAGAAAAGGAAAAATCAAGAGGTCTCAGTTTTACCGAACAAGAAAAATATAAATGGAAGCAAGAAGTCAGTTTTGCCTAATCAGAAGGCTATGGAGAATGGTTCTGAAGTTCAAACCATTCTTAAGAAACACTTAGGAACAGGAGAGGGCACATTTCTGAAAAACTCTGATGTTACGTGTCCGTCAAAGTCTTCTCTCAAATCAAAACATGTTACTTTTTCGGACACAGCTGACATATGTGGGTTGACTGCCTCCCAAACTGAAGATAACACGGAGCAATCACAGGTGGTGCAGGCATCCCAGCAACCGTCCCAGAGAGACAATTCTCAGGTAGTCAATGATCAGCGCAATACAGAAGAGCCACAGTTGGTGCATCAGCGGATAGATGCTTTATCGGGGACTATTGAGCAGGATAGCAGCTCTTTATCTGAGAAGGTAGGTTCAACTGGTGCCTCCCATACTGTTCCACTTACCAAACCTGTGTATCTGAATCATTGCATAGAGATTTCTAAGAGGGACAACGGCAACCGTTTGAGCTCCATGAGCTCAGCTGCCCTGCCTAGTCAAGGGCTTGCTCAAAAGTCTGCTGGCGTTAACTTCCGTTTGCAAGAAGGCCTATGTCTTGGTATTGGGCTTCAAGCTGAAGAAAACTGTCAGATGATGCCAAGAGGACCATCTGTTCCTGCTGGTTTAGCAGTCGACAAAAGACCAGAATATCTTATGAGAACTCTGTTGCCACATCCTTACAGCTCTGGCTATGCTGCTTCTCTCAAAGAAGCATTGGATAGGAATAGAAGCACAATTCTTCAGGAAAGGTTGATTGCTAATTGCCACTTGACAGAAGTTCATCCTAGTGTTCGTAGATCTGGTAATGACGTGGTGAGCAATATAAACACCTCAACAGGATCAAACAAATCAACAAATGCACAACCTACAGTCTGTGTATCTGCATGCAGGAACATGTACAGTGATGGCTATATGGGTCTTCCTATTAATTCGCATGGTGAATTTGTCAGGGTTCAAACTGGTGGTACCCTTAATCCCGATGAGCTGCTTAAAACACAATGCTTGAGGAAGGATTCTTTGCATCCTTCAACATCTCCAACTTTCTTCACACCTAGTACTTCCTTGGATTATGCCCATTTAAGAATCAACCATGAAGCTCCGCCATTTTTTACAGTTGCTAATTTTGGTATTCAGCCAGACCCTCGTCTTATCCCCACAATGCCAACTGCATTCAATATGGGTTTCAGACAGCGTCCCAGCTCTGAAAGAGTGGAAGTGCATAACCATGCAATTCCCAGCAGCATATATTCATGCAGGAACCAGCAAGGGAGTTCAGATCAATGTTTGGGTGCTCAATTCCTGGGACATGATGATCAATTGCTGAAGTCACTTGAGATGCAAAGCTGCTTCCCAAGACAGAATTATAAGCAGAATATCCAACCTGCTGCTGAAACGACGATGCGCCTAATGGGCAAAACAGTTAGTCTTGGAACCGGCATTGGGGGTTTAGAAAACTGTGGTCCATGTTCTAGTAACCAAATCAGAGCTGAAGATCGTTGCTTTCCAGGGATGTGCACACAAGTTTCTCCCCAATTGTCTCATGAAGGTTTGGTTGATCCTGCTGCAACATTTAGGATTTTGAATGGAGGAAGACCACCATCAGAATATGCATCACGTTTTTCTTCTGTTCCAGCAGCTGAGCAGGGGCCTGGTTTCAGCAAAAGTAATCAGAGTCGTCAACCTCAACTAGCCGTGCCAAACAAGGTGTCTATGCAACCAGTGAGCAGGTACAATGAGGTCAGGCTGGGGCATCAGCGACCAGCTGTGGCAAATCAAGTTCAGAGTACTGCTAATCATCTAGAACCTGGTCCTGCGCACTGCGGTCGTACCGCTAGTGTTGCAACAAAGCCATCTTACGATCCATGGAACAAGTTCAAAAACATTGCAGAAACAAGACCAGGGTCATCTCAGTTCAGCCTTTTCCCTGAAAACAGCAGCAGCATGACACAAATGACCCCAATATCCAACTGTATGTCTGGCTACTCTGTTCAGAGCACTGCTGCATCATCAACAACTCAAACAAAGTTTACCTCACTCCGTCCATTGCCCCCTTCAATGGTCTCTTCTCATGTTTTTAGCAGTGAAGCTGTGCGGCCTCATGGATCTACTGCATCCAGGCCATTAGTTCCCCTTCCTCGTGAACCAGGTAAAAGTAATGCTCCAGGTGGTGTGATCTTTGAAGACAAGGGGAGCATGAAACAGGCCACTGTAGTAGCATCAAGATCGAGTCTTGAGAGTTCGAAGCAAATCAACAAGAGTTTCAAAGGACCGGCAGAAAAGGATGATGTGTTATTGACATCACCAAACAAAACTTGCATAGCAGTACGAAAGGACCTAAATCCGCCGCCACTCCTGGTAGAAATCTATGGATCCAGACCAGGTGGGCAGCCCCGAGATATGGCAGTTCGTCTCAATGGTGGGCAACCCCGAGATATGCCAGTTCGTCTCAACAGTGGGCAACCCCGAGATATGCCAGTTCGTCTCAACGGTGGGCAACCCCGAGATATGCCAGTTCGTCTCAGTGGACCTGAAACAATTCTTCGAGCTGTAACCAGTGGTGCAAATACACGTTCGGCGTTGACAGATTCTTCCAGTACTGCGGGTACTAGACCTGTTAAGTTGCAATCTGGAGCAAAGCACATACTCCAGCCATGTGCTAGTGCTAGCTTGGACCAGGTGGATTCCTGGCCTGCGCGGTCGGTCATACAGCATGAAGTGGAGAATGATGCTCGCGCAGTAGGTGCATCGAAGAAGACCGACCTGTGCTGAAGCTGCAGAGTTTAACCATTCCCTGGGTTAATGAGTCTTTTCGTCGTCATCGGACTAGCTAATCCTGAAGAAACTTCGTACCAAGCCCAACCTGAAACCAGATAAATGATCTTATGGGACGGAGCTGGCATCTTGCATCAGTTTCTCCCGTAATATCGCTAGCCCTTCCCTATTGTTGTCGTAATATGCTCCTCCATTTAGGTTAGATTGTATTTGTCCTCGAGCAATCGGCAGCATCTCTGCCTTTTCATCTTGGTTAGATGGTAGTTTCAGCTGGGATAGATGGAGTTTTCCAACATTGAAAGAGAAGTTCTGTTATTTTCCCAACTGTTCACGTTGAAACCATTGTCGTTAGTTTGTTTTCGATCGATCGATTGGCGAGAGCCCTGCCTTTTCATCTTGGTTAGATGGTAGTTTCAGTGCTGCCATAGGTGAAATTTTCTAGCATTGGTAGGGAAAATCTGTTATTTTCCACATGATATTTTGGCAGTGGTGGTGATACGAAGCCCCAAGCTTGTTGCATTCCTATTCATATTTTTTTGCAGACCAAATTCTCCCAGCAAACTAATGAATTCTGTGAACTGCGGTAGCTATTCTTCTCAGCCAAAGACAGTTGTTTATACAGTATTATATTAATTGCTGCACAATCGTAGTACATGGTTGGTTGCCGATCTGAGGCACTGTGAACTGAGTAAGAGGGTACAGTTGCAAAATTCAGGCGCAAACGTATCATCTTGTATGTGTTGGTACACCGCAGAGTCAGAATTGTGCATATCTTTCACCGACACCAACGGCGGCGGCTGCCGCCGTCCCTCCCTCCGCCGATGGAGCGGGCTAGAGGCGTGCGAGGGTGCGGAGGTCGACGGGGTGCACGTCGGAGGCGAGCCGGGCGGCGTAGGCCCGCTGGCCGACGAGCACGTTGGCGGCCTCGGTGGGGTGGAAGGCGTCCCAGAAGAGGTACTCGTTGCGGTTGGGGCACGGCGTCTGGAACGGCAGGCAGGTGACCTGCCCGTTGTTCCGCCCCACGCCGCAGCAGCCCCGGTTGGTCACCTTCAGGCCATGGCCGCCGGGCGCCCGGAGGATGTCGGAGAAGATGCCATCGATGTTGATGTAGGTGAAGTGCGCGCCGGGGAGGAGGCGGTTGAACTGGTCGACCATGCCGACGAGCCGCTGGTTGAACATCCGGACGGCGACGTTGATCCGGTCGACGCAGGCCACGCCGTTGGCGCTCTGCGTGGCCAGCTCGTTGGGGCTGCACCCGACCTGCCCCACGCCGATGAGCGCCACCTTGCGCGCCCCGTAGCTGTAGAGCGCGCGGAGGAGCTGCGTGTAGCGCGCCGCCAGGTCGTCGGCGTACTGCGCCGGCGTGTAGCGGCTCCCCGTGTCGTAGAAGGCCGGCATGAAGTAGTTGTTGAGGTAGTCGTTGCTGCCCATGCCGACGGTGAAGATGCACTGGCTCAGGCGGTTCGCCGCCGCGTCCTCGTCCCCCAGGATGCTCACCAGCTGCTCCACCGCGCTCTGGTAGTTCTGCACCTGCCCGCTGAAGCTGATGCGTCCACCCTGCAGCCAGAAGCATCTCATCAGGAATTGACATGGCATTCGCGACTGCTAGAGTACGGAATGCGGTAGCGTGCTGCGTACCAGCTGCTGCCCGGTCTCTTCCCGGATGCCGGCGGCGGCGGAGGCGAAGTTGACGCCGGTGAGGAGCTGGTCGCTGGTCGCACCGGCGAACGGGGGGATGAAGTCGTCGAAGCCCAGAAGCTTGGCTGCACCCAACGCAAAAGACAGAGCAAGACTGAGCTGTACGTAGTTTCGGAATGTGTTTGTACGTACGTGGTATGTATAGTTTTGGGTGCTTACAGATGGCGTCGACGGTGGTGAGTCCGTTGGAGAAGCGTCCGGTGGGCCCGCCGGCGAAGTCGACGCCGTAGGGCGGGTAGTTGGCGCGCGCGAGCGAGACGATGCCGTTGTTGTTGCCGTTGTCCACCAGCGAGTCCCCGAACACGAAGTAGCACGGCACCTGCGGCGCCGCCCCGGCCGTCGTCGCCGCCGCGCCCACCACCGCCAGCACCACGGCCAGCGACCGCCAGCAGCACGCGCTCCCCGCCATTGCACCACCAAGTGCCTTCTCAGTGACGATCCGACTGAGTTGCTAGAAGGAAGGAGCGAGCGAGATTGATTGTGATCGCGACAACACACGGTGGACATGCGTACTGCTACCATGCTTGCGCGTTATTTATAGGGACTGGTGAGAGTTGAGTTGGGCAGCGCCGGTGCTGGATTGGACACTAGAGAGAGGGTGGAGATTAATCACCGATTGGGCCTTTTGCCACTCGCTCGCTGTTAGGTCCGGCATTTACTTGGAGGCGGCGGGCAATGTGCGTGGGCTAGCTGGTGAAGCAAGCTGCTCACTCCATCAGTGTGTCTACTACGAGATACGAAGATTCTCTCAAAACAAAAAAAGCGAAATCTACTATGCGAACAGCGTAGGCAAAGACCGGCCGGCAGGGGCACTACGGATTTTTATACGGACAAACACACAGTTTGGGGTACAGTCTGGACGGTGCGTGTATTTGTATAGCTCAAGGACGATGTAGCTAGCCCGTCAGTTGCTTGCTGTTTGGGCGAACCAAAGCGGGTCGAGCTACGTTTGTGTGCGCACAGGTGCCTGGCCAGGCAGTACATAGAGCGGTTGCAGCTACAATTTTGAGCAACGCCGACATATCAGTTGATCGACCGCCTCAACCGAGGAGCTAGTTACTGCTGCCTGTACTCCAGTACGTAAGGCGCTAATAACTCGCCGACATTTCCCAGTCCAGTTTACCAGCAAGTTACAGGATCTTGAGTTATCGCCCCGTCCGATCATCATGATCGATCGGCGTTAGTCACCCCGGCCGGCCCGGTGCCGGACACCAGACAGACTGTGAACGCGCACATCGGAAGCTTGGAAAAGCTCCGCTGGCCATAAAACCGGAACAGATAGGGCTCAATCATCAACATCCAATGACCCATCCGGCACGCAGAGACATTCCACATGCATAGGCGTATGAACGGCGTCGCCGAGTGGGGATGGATGGATCCATCGATCGTGCACGCCGTCGTACGCATGCAGTGCAGCGCCCACACATCACACTATAGCCAGCCAGCCGGCCCGTAGATTGGATTGATCTGGCCCCGCTCCACGCATGCCGAATTCAATGCGCCGCCCTGGTGGCTGGCGGGCTAGAGAGAGAGGTCGCCTTGCAACACCTTGGCCTCCCACGGCGGAGCGTCACCGTGGCACGCACGGCACGGCACGGGCCGGTGCGGGGGTCCGGGGCAACTCGACCATGTACTTGAAAGGTTGCAATGCTCAATAGTCAATACAGTTGGTGCATGTGCTCCCTTGGATCTGGTTCTGGTTCTGGGCGAGGAACGCACGGCACGTACCAACGCGTGTCTGCTACTAGTAGTACGGTAGGTACCATGCATGTGCCGCTGTGCATGTAACTCGATCCATATGTTCCGGTGAGAAGCTTGAGGAATTTCACGCTTGCTTCTGTTGTTCGGGTTCCCCCATTTTCCATTACTTTGCGCATTGTGGAGGAAACACCCTTTTTCAGGAAGACCGTTGGATCAATGGGATGAGGGTACAGGAGATAGCACCAACTATATACGGCATGATTCCTCGACGCGTCAGATTTATGAAGCATGTGGCATCGGCCATTGAGGATGGTTCTTGGGCTATGGATGTCGGCCCGGACCTTGGAGAGCAAGCCTTGAGGAAATTCTTATCCCTATGGCTGTGTGTGTACACGTGGGAGCCGGAGGTGGATGTGCCTGATACGATAGCATGGTCCTGGGAGACGAACGGACGCTACTCGGTGAGGTCGGCCTATGCGGCGGGGTTTTGGGGCCGAGAGGTGGCACCTATGGCGGAGCTTACCTGGACATCCCGGCCCCCCTCTAACAGCAAGTTCTTCACTTGGCTAGCACTACGAGATCGGTGCTGGACCTCGGATAGACTTGCACGAAGAGGGTTACTGCATCAGGACGCTTGCCCTCTTTGCGACCAGGAGGAGGAAACGATCAACCATGTGCTGCTAACATGTGTGTTTGCTAGATCCATATTTTTTTTAGAAAAGGAGGATGACCCCCGGCCTCTGCATCTGGGAGATGCATACGGCCACTTTATTGATTATTCTCGAGGACCTTACAAAGTGTTACAACAATATGCCTGAATCCACCATCTAGGCAATCTATGCCGCTACTCCTATCCATATGATGAAGGGGTGCTAGCTGGGCCACTACCCAGACCACTCACCTAAACCTAACATCAAAAGCCGGAATCCCCAGCCTAGCCACATACCGGGTCTGGGGCATAAACCGGTCTGACGCACTTACAGGTGTCGTCTCCGCCATCTTCCACTGGTCCATCTCCAAGCAGATTGAAGTGCCAACCTTGGCAGGCTCCTCCGCCATCAACGCCACCATGACGCCAAATGACGACCACCACGTACGCTAGTCCATCGCCAAGCAGATGGAGCGCTACCATAAGATGAAGATCAACGGTAGAATATATAGAACGCCGCACTCATTGCCGCCGCCACACACCTCACACGCACCACAAAGCGCCCACCGCGCTTCCGTGAACCCCAGGCGACGCCTTCAAGAAGGAGCGCGACGAAGGTACGACGCCATCGCCCGCAAGGGGAACTAGAGCTTTCGCCCAAATGAAGAGCACAATGAGAAACATGATAGGACCTCGACAAGGCCTCCAAGAAGGGAACCGATGCCCACAACGACGCCGCCATTGTCGTGGCCTCCGCCGACGGCCAAGGGTTTCCCCTGATCCGGCCCCCGTCCCATCCACCCGGCCAAAGACCTGACCAGGGGAGCGCACGCAGCCGGAGAAGGCGTTGGACTTCATCGAAGCAGGCACGCCGGGTGACGGGGCACCCCGACCCACCGTAGTAGACGTCCATCGAGACCTCGCCGCCCGCACAGCCGAAGTCGCGGACCACCAGCTCCCACGGCCGTCGCCCGTCAAGAGGCCACGCTGTCCACACCGCCCGATGCCGCCACCCCGACATCCACCCACCGCGCACATCCCGTCAAAACATGGAGAACGACCCACACTGCCGCCACCAGGGAGACCACACCGCGAGCACCCAAGCCGGGCGACGAGGCAAGGCCGCGCCGGCCAGATCCGGGCGGATCCGGTGATCCCCGGCCCACCAGCCGCCAGAGAGGAGCCGACCCTGATCCAGGGCCGAGCCGGCCTGATCTGGCAGTCGGACCTTCCCAGGAGACCCCACACCGGATCAGGAGAGGGGCTAGCGACAGCTCCGGCGACCGACGGCCGCCACAGAGGGCCTGCGTCGGCAGCCACCAGAAGCTGGGGAGGCGGGAGACGGCGTCTGATGTGGGGTGGTGTCGTGGTTCTAAGTCTGACAGTAGTGTAGGGGGGTAGGTATGGAGAGGCAAGATCCTAGCTATGGAGTAGTTGTACACGCAAGAGATTTATGAGTTCAGGCCCTTCTCGGAGGAACTAACAGCCCTACGTCTCGGAGCCCGGAGGCGGTCAACTGGATTATATGCATATGAGTTACAGGGGTGCGAACCCTTTACACCGAGGAGGGGGGTGGCTTATATAGAGTTCGCCAGACCCCTCCGGCCCTCAGTTATGTAGGGTTTAAAGTACATTAAGATCTGGCGTTACTGGTAACGCCACAAGTAAAGTGCTATGATGACCATAAAAGCTACTCAATGACCGACCGTTTGCATGCAGAGGGACTTTAGACCTCCCGGCCGTCGAGTGGTTGGCTTCATGGTCGAGTGGTTGGATTCATGGTCGAGTGTCTTCGAGTCTGTCGAGCAGAACACTTCTGGGCCGATTGACAGGCGGTTTCTTCTAGAGATGTCCTTGGGTAGGGTGGTTTGGACATGCCCATGACCCTACCCTAGGTACATAGCTTCATCATTAGCCCCCGAATGGATCGAGGTTTGAGTGGGGAAGGAGTTGAGAACTCTTTCGACCCATTTTTCGTGCTATGAGTATATCTTGTTCTGGACCCATGGACCTAAATAACGACACCAACTTCTTTTTCGGTCGCCTTGATCCATTCTTGGTTGCAGTCGAGTGAGTTTCTTTACTTGAAAAGCTCCGAGTGGTGTTGTGGAGGAGATCCTCCGTCTGACAAGTTGTTCTGCTGCTCGCGGATTCTGCGGGATTCGAATTTTGGGAAGCGCGCGGGGCGGAGGAGGCTGCAGTAATCGGATGGGATAAGGCAGGGACGTCTTGATCTCCGCGCCACCTTTTTCGCCACGTATCGCGCGCGCGACTGTTGCAGGATTTGACAGGATCGCCCGGGCCTACAAGTCAGCCACTCGGAAGTAACCTCATATAAGGCGTCCGACGGGGGTGTTTGAACAATGCGTTCTCATTTCCTCCTCTCTTCTCTAGATTTATCTGCCGCATTCGCCTCCGTCTCAGTGCCGCCGCCCCGTGCGCGTCTCGCCGGCAACAATGGTGAAAGAGAAGACGGCGGCCCTGGAGAGGGCGAAGAAAGCGACGGCAAAGGCGAAGGGAAGGGCGACCAGTCGAGGCGGATCTTCATCGAGGGCCGGCCTGCCGCAGGGCTTGATCCAGGGCGACTGGATCCGCTCGACGATTCGTCAAGAAGATCTTGACGACCTGGCCGATGAAGGACTGATCCCCCATGGATCGGCGCGGCTCCCGGGGAAGGAGTCTGAGCCGCAGCCTCACGAGGGTGAGTGCGTTCTCTTGGCCACCCATGTCGACCGTGGGTTTTCTTTGCCGCCTCACCCTTTTTTTTGGGGATTTCTGAATTTCTTTGGGGCGCAACTCCACCACTTCACACCCAACACCATCGTGTACCTCGCTGCTTTCGTGTCTTTGTGCTAGAATTTCTTGGGTTGCCGGCCTCATTGGGGTCTTTTCAAGCACATCTTCACCTGTCGCTCCCAGACGGTGAAAAAGGCCAATTTGAGTGACGAGAGAACACAAGTGATTCAGATGTGTGGGGGTCTTGGGGTTGAAATGAGAGGAAAAAGCTCTTTTCCGGCCATGGTCCTACCCGACTCGGTCCGTGGATGGCAGTCGACCTG